TTCTTGGAGGTGTGAGGCAGAGGTCCACCGTTGGCAGCGAGCATTGTTTGTTCGATTCACTAGAGAGGTGCTGAACGCATTTTACGCATCGATTGGCATTACTAGTCAAACCTAGGCGCTTTCATCCTTAGTGTTGACGCATTCAAACCTTCATGCAAGTTTTTGTGTAGTTTGGCAATGGCTCGATTCAACGGTTTTCTTTAGTACTTTGTTATCAACAGCTCAGGTCGGTATGCATGCTCCTCGCTCACGACATTTACCTCAGTCTTGGAAGCGATCAAACCATAGATGTAACTGCCCAGAGCATGAACGTTGCCGACGAATGTTTGTATAATGAGAATCAACGACCGCTATTCTTTGTTTTCTTTTGCCATGTGAGGCGACATTTTGGACTCAACGTGTTCAAACAAAATTTTTGACAAAAGGAGCTGTCGTTCCCTCTGATTCATTTGATATATCCTGCTGCGCGCCAGAAAACGGCCTCTCGGAAAAGTACCTACCCATTGTGAGACATTATGCTTGCATAAAAACAACATCATAAAGGTGAGCAACACTTCTTTTCGGCCAACCTAATAGATAAACACCGAAGGCACGGTTCGGCATTAGGCATGTTTCGTCCCCGAGGGCGGTAGACAGGCGGACAAGCGTTGATGTCGCGCCTTTTACGGCTTGAAAGTGCGCGACAAAGGCGCTAGAAGCTCGTTCGACCCGCAATCCACACCTTCGTCCGCAAACCCCGCCTTTCGCTGCCGCTGCCACGTGACGCTGCGAGATAAGGGCGGGCGCAGTTGCAGCAGCGGCTGCATCGCTGGTGCTTCTAACTGTGCAAGAGGACTGGAAGTATGTGTAAAAAATGACTTTTTGCTCGTAGTTAGAATTTTAGAGTGGAAAATTGAAGTTCTTCCAGCTTGCTCTAATATCCACCCTGGGCCAAGCGGGAAGAGTTACGCTCAGAGCGATTGGCAAAGATTCGTGAAGTGCAGCTTCAAAAGTTTCCGCTCCCAACATTTTTGATGCAGGTGGTTTGGTTTTTGATGCATTTTCTGAAAGAATTGAAAAGGTGCGGTCCCACGCGACAGACATGTGAAAAGCGCGTTGTTGCCAATTGGTGAAAGGCGCGAAAGTGTCGACCACTGCACTTGGACCAAGCACCTCTATGCATTGGAGGGACTTCCTCAGTAGAGCGACCCTGAGCCTTTCTTGCCTTTAATGAATTTTTCTTGGGGTGTATATACGGCAAAAACAATGCGCATTCACTACAGCACCAGTAACACGAATAATAACCAATGAAACACTTACTCAACATTAAAATGCTTATTGCTTCTTTACAGACTGAATCATAAATATTTTGTCAGATGGTCTCCCTTAGTTGTTGTCGACATGTAAAGACGATTCTGCTGTTACAGAAGTGAACGAACGAAGCCGAACCTTCATTTTATTACGTGTCATCTCGTGCTCCATTTGTTTCTGTGGCGTCCATTCGGAGTGCATCTTGTCAACTGGTGTTCTAGCTCTACGAAACATTCGAGGAGCTTTGGCATAAGCCTTCCTATGTTTACAGTTGTCAAATTTTCGTTGAAAATGAAGTTCAAACGACACATCAAAATTATTGTTCTTACTGTCGGATTGTCGTCATCGTTTTAATTTTGTTACGCAGTTCGTTGACACTTCCTTCTGAGAATGATGGTGGAACGTAAAGCACAGCATTGGATGGCCTAAGATTTTTTTCATTTGTGTTCGATATCTTCTGTTAAAGGAAGTGACTAGGACAAGGAAGGGTCGCACCGGGAGAGTACAAAGTGGCGAAAAATTACGTGCGCTTGATATTTCGGCTCAATTCAAACGTGTATTTGTTAAATGCCATTTATTGGTTCATAGGAGAAAACATTTGTTTTCCCGAGTTCTGACAAAGACTTGCTCACGTTGGAAAGCGATTACGCCAACACGTGGGCCGAGAGCTAAACGATTTCTTCGAGGCTCAAAGTTTTTTCAACGAGTCGTCCAAAAAGCTGCAAAGCAATGGGAAAAGCAAGACCATCTCTAATTTAAACCCGTAGAGAATGAGAACGGACTACCAACACCCGATATGTGAGGAGAATTATTATGAAGAGGAATGACCAAACAGATGACCTGTGCTTGAATAAGAGTAGCGAATAGTACGGGACTTCCCAAAAATCTGTTCAAATGTTAGCAGGAATAGCAAGCGGAAAGGACGCTACCGTATATCAAACGGGCACTTTCCCATCGTTCTTGGAAAGCGAGATCGGAAGGAAAAATATGAAGAGTTGCGGAATTTTTTCAAGATGCGGCGGTCCTGACGCCCTGTGGTTTCGCAAGTAAAACTTCCGCATTGATTGTAAAACTTTTACAATCACCTTTATTCTTTTACTCCAGCTCTAAATGAAATTGAAAGTACCCGCAAAAAATTTATTTCGTTCCCTGGAAATTTGATGATTTGAGGCTGGACCAGTGTACCAGGCAAGCCTCCACAGGTTTTTATTGATAAAAGAGCAGAAATCACTGCGGCCAGTATCGGCTCTTTTTTGATGGATTCGTGGTCTGCTTACAGCCCGAATTTGGACCTCTCTGTTTGACGTTTCATTAGATAGCTACTAAGGGATCGAACTGCAAAAATTTCGGTGATTCTGGAAAGAACTTTCTAAAATTTGGAATAAGTATGCGTTGAACACCTCCGCCGCACCATCGACTCGCTGAAGAAACAAATTGAGGCCTGTATCAAACTGATGGCAGCTACATTAAATCTTTTTGCAATTATCAAGCATCATAGTTGTTTTATGTTTGTTCTATGAAATTTGATTAGGTTCAATTTTTGTGGAAACGAGATAAGGTTTGGATGTGTTTTATGTAATTTTTCGTAGTTTTTCGTCACCCTGTATATGCGCCACACGAAGAATTTTTCGCGTGTCGCCGAACTTTACTCGACAGCTCGCTTGACTCTAAGACCGACGTCATAGTCGGCGACGGAACAAGCGATGGAGCGATCGCGATCGCTCCATCGCTTGTCCGTCGCCGACTATGACGTCGGTCTAACCCTGGTTGCTGAGCAGAACCTCCGAAGCACTCCGCCCCGAAAG